TTAAAAAAAAAAAAAAAATTATTGTATATATTTTTGTAGGGCACTGTAGGACGGTTATCGATCAACTTTATTTATTCATCATCTGATTAATTTAATGATTAAATATTTAGCTCAATATATCATTCAATGCTAAAAAACTAGTGTTTGGAACTGGTTTTAGTTTTTAGATGATTAAACCGGTTTAAATGAAAACTAAAACGGCTCCAAATTTATAAACAGAACTATATACTATCATTATTCAAGTGCCTAGCAATAATGAAAATGTATACTGCTTAATATTGCAATGGTAATATATAATAAATAATGCAAAAAAAGTGTAATCATAATGGTCAAAATGGAAATAAATAAATACAGCCCTACACATTCTATCTACAAATTAAAATAAAATGACAGGAACATCAATCATGGCTTCGGATTCATATATTGTGGCCTTGTCGGATAGCCTTGTTGATAACCGGGATTTGATTGATTGTAAGAATAATTTCCTTGTTGTTGATAGTTGCCTCCTTGAAAAGTGCCTTGCTGTGAGTATGGAGGTTGTGAATATTGACCACCTTGCGGATAATAATTACCATAAGCAGATGGTGATTTATTATATTGATTATAATTTTGAGCAGCTGGTACATTCGGAGGAGCAGGTAACGGTCTTGACTTTGGTGGTGAATAAGACTGCGTAGGCGGATTGTGAAGAAGTGACATATCTTCAACGAATTTCTGAGGAGTTATGATATGCGTTGAACCTAGTGTGTTAAAAAATAGAATGAATATTATTAAACAAAATTTTCCCGATAAGCATACAATGAATCAAATTACCAATAATGACATCTTGACGATGTTTTTCAGTGATTTCATATGCAGTCCGGAGTTCTGAATATGTCACACCACCGGCTATAAAAACTATTATTCGGGGATTTTTGGCCTGAATAGGCAATAAATTTTAAATATTAAATGATTAAATAGTAAATAAGAAAAGCTCTGATCAAATTACCTCCTGGCCTTTCAAGAACCATGTAGGTCGAAGACTAAATATAATTTATTTTAAGCCATTATTAGATCATTTAATATATTAACGTTGTGTTAAAGACATCTAAAATCTAAGCACCTTCTTAAGTCAGACCCCGAAGATTTATTACCATCTGGTCCACCCGCTGGATCCTTTGTATATGGATATTCAGCAACATCTAGGCTTTTATTGATATGACTCTAATAATTGATATACGAAAATAAGATGAGACTTCTACGTTAATGAAATAAAAATAAAAAGATACCGCACCTCCAAGACATGCTTTAACCTAGGGATATATCGAGAAAATTCATAATGAATATCATCTCCTTGTGGTTGTCTATATTTTTTCTTTTTTGGAGTGGTCATTTTGGTCTAGAAAAATTTAGGTAATGGAACAGTCAGAATTTGACCAATTAACAATTAGAATTGCCAAATTACATACTTTTGCCCTTATTAACTTCTCGCCGAAAAATTCTAAATTATTGATAGATTCATTCTCTGACTTTGAAAGCCTAGCATGATTTAACAGCTTAACTTGGTTTTCCTCCGTAATACCACGCTTATACATTATGTAAAGCATGAGCATTCTTACTTTGGTACTCGAACTAAATAAATAATACAATTGCTATTATCATAACTGTTAATAGAAATTCCAGACAATGATTGTTATTTTCCATGGTTACCTAATGACAGGGTTATCCAATATTGGAATCATATCTTCCAGTAATGTTTTAGGATTTTGAGAATCAGACGTAAATCCAGTGGCGCAATTCTTTTTTTTTAAAAAAAAATAAAATAAAATAAAATAAAAATAATAATGTAAATTTAATCCCAAAAATAATGACATAGGTAATGTTAAATACCTGTTCAACTGTGGCTACTTCAGCAAGCTTTTCTTTATCAAACACGCTCATACATTCTTGTGCAATACTCAAATGAACTGAATACTTTATTTAAAACTAAAGTTAATTTGAAGCCGGAGGTAACTTAGTGCTTAAATAAGTCTATATTATTTTTACTGACCTTTTCCTTCATGTTTTGGAATTGAGGTAAGGTTGCCAACATTTTTTTTATATCATTCAAATTTGCAGCTTTATCTCTGTAAGGAAAAAATAGTTAATTTAAAAATTTAGAAATTAATTCTAGATGACATAATATATAATTTATATTTACTTGTCGTTAAAGCCTGCGTTTTCTACCAAAAATTTGTTGAAATCTGTCATAAGTTGATCGATGCAGTCCTTCATGTGTTTATGCCGTATACCAACCCATATCGTATCGGTTTCGTCTAGCATAGCATCCTTATCTGCTGGAGCACCATCATCATCGACGTAACTATATGTATATTTTTGACCGTTTACAATTGGCAAAAGGTCGTTAGCCATGGCTTGATAGGTGAATTCATGTAACATCGGAGTGTACATATCAACAGTGCGATCCAAAATAAACAAAACAGATCGCTTGCGTTGTATCTCTATCTATTTATGTAATAAGAAGTTATATAATAAATCAAATACTGCTAACATATTTAAACCCAAACAACTTACAGGAACACTTCCAGGCGCAAGTTGCCTTTTAATTCTTGTATAATTATCCAACTCGGCCTGTACCAGTTGAGCCAATTTAAAAGGTAATGATTTGTTCGCATAATCAGGATCGAGATCGATTCCTTTCTGATAACGAATCAAAGGGTTTTCTCCTAACGAAACACAAACGGAAAGAAGCTAGAACCAAAACAAATATTTAAAAGAATTGATATAAGATATAAATGGTATATACACCGATGTTAAATATTATACTAACCTGTTTTGCAAGTTTTTTCAGTTCAGCATCAAAAATTGCGTTTTCTACCTTAGGCGAATACAATCGGAAGAAACTTTTAGGGGATTCGAACGAATAAACCTGTGCTTCTCGTGCTATTTTTGAGGATCATAAATGTGAAATCAGAGATATTTGATAATTATCCGACAATATCTGTGCATTAAAAAGTAATATGATTGCTCTTATTTTACCATGAAATTCAATAAAAAGCTCTTTGTATGCTTTTAAGAAGTCCTTAGGAATTAATCTCGTTAACCTATCATAGTCCGAACGCTCAGGGGCTGAACGTTAATAAAAAAGACAAATCAATAAAAGATTTGCATCATAATCAAAATCAGAACTGAAAAAAACCTACGCGAAGTAAGAAACACATGCGCTCCAGTATACAAAGGTGGATTCTTAGTAAAATCCTCAATCACTTTAGAAATCGATTCTGTCAAAGGAGTAATAATATATACTGCCTCAAGAGGATAAGTTTGACGAGTTTTCTCGAGCTGCTCTACCACTAAAAATTGTGGTAAAAGTTAATATTTTATACATTCATGAAAATAAATTATAAGGCAAACTTACAGGTGACTTTCTCTTCGAGAATGTCGAACATCTTACAGGCCGATTCTAAAATCTTAAGTGCAGGTTCATCTACCACCACAACCTTCCATCCCCCTTTTTAATATGCGTTTTGCGTTTATTCATTGTGTTTCGTTTTTATTTATTTCTTTT